TGGCCTTCCTCATCCGAGGAAAGTTGAATGGCCCTCGTCGCGGCTGTCCCAACTCTTTTGGAGGCATGGTCATTGCATGAAAGAATCGTTAGTAAAAACATTTCATTCTCCGACTAGAAAAGAACCAGTCTGCACAACTTACTCGGTGCGAGCTCTAAAGACGCGTCCGCATTGAAAAAACTATACTTCTGCAAGTTCATGGTCGTCACGAGCTTCCTCGTGGCATGACTAGCCTTAGGAAGAACTTCGAAAGATACGATCCTGTCTAGGTCGGAGAGCAGCTCTAGGCTGGTCGACTTGTTAATTACAAAGGGAAGCAGGTCGTTAGAAGAAAGAAATGCACAGTTAATGAATTTAACGAAGAAGAACCTGCTTGGATCCTGAAAGCGGCAATGGCCGTCATAACGAAAGAAGAAAAACTTCGTTTCGTAGGCCCCCGCGTTGCTAGGGTAGCTATGTATCCCTTCGGCAATGGTAGGTCGTCTGACCAAGTAGTATGAGTCCTTGTCCTTGCTCCTTTTCAAGTAGTACGAGCAGCCGAGCTCCATAGCGGTTAGCTCACGCAGACCGCTCTCATGACACGTGATGTACAGCACAACAGCAATGACATACACGTTCGATGTTGCCTGCATCGATGTGATCCCGAAGTAATCCAGGACCGACCTGATAAAATGGTGGAAAGGAATCAACCCCTCATCCTTAAAGATCTCTTCGGAGATCGTGGCCAACCCACTGGAATGGTACCGCGACGACCGGGTGATGTCGCGAAAAACTTCCACATGAACACGTACTATTTGACCACCCTCTCGAGCTCTTCCCCGATAAGAATAGAGTAAACCTCGTGGGTTACGCTCGCAGGAACACCCTGCGAAGATGAGCCGGTTCCTTCCTCGGACCTGGTCGTTGAGGGTTCTATTCTGCAGTCTGCAAAAGCGACGAGCAGAGGGTCATTTAGCCATCGTACGTTGTACCGTACGACGACGTGGAATAAACTCCCTAAACCCTAATAGTATGACTCGAGCCGCCATTCACGGCTCGAACCCGACGCCAGCGTCACGTCTCCGATGAACCATCAGAAGACTAGACACCATTACACCACCATGAAAACTAAGAAAATGAAGACAAAGAAAGGTTCTTACCTCTCGGAGTACGAAAAGTGATCTCTACTTCGAATATCGGAAAAACACCGGTTTGGAAGGCAGGGGTTCTAGTTTGTGGAAATCTTTCGTTCTCTATGATAAAGACTCTGGTGGCATCATCTGAGAAGGATTTGAGCTTTTATAGCATATGAACCGATGTTCGCTCTCCTCGGAATCGAAACGACGTTTGGGCGGCAATAATCTCTTACCGTTGATCACGGACACGTGTCGCAGATCAGTGGGGGAGAGAGAGAGTCGCGATTAAGGATAATCAAATCCCCATCTCTTCCGTTGAGAAACTCAAACGACGGCTCTTTCTCTCTCTCTCAGTATTAATTGCGCCTCAATCTGCATTTAATGCTGTGATAAGGGTTATCGTTTCAGCGTGCCATGCATTTAATGCTCTGATAAAGTGATAACGTGTCAGCATACGGTGCATTTAATGTGCCTGGCAGACGCTTAACACCCGCAGAACACCTGTCAACGCAGGGGCTACTTCATTAAATGCACTCGTCCCTAAGGCACAACAAACAATGCCTGACGAAGTTAGGTCACTCAGACGATGGCCATACGAGGTCGTGCTCGCAGAAAGTCCTATCCCGACCTACTTTCAAACAGGTCGGAGCCGACAAAACTTCCAAGAAACCTCCAATCACAGCATGACTTATAGTTTCCAAGGTTCGATCCTCAAACCTTAAAAACTAGGGGGACTTCTGTTATGCCTGGGAAATATAGGGCTGATGTGGGAAGTCAAGTGAGGGAGAGGGCAGCCTGCTCCTGTCAGGATGGTAGGTGCGCGCCAGACCAGCCAGAAGCTGTGATGATCCCACGTGTCCATTCCCTGCTCCAAATCGCGCAAATCACTCTGGAAGGTAGGCAATGTGACATAAAGAAGGATTTGCCCTGACATTCCCACCAACTCACAGATTTAATGATCATTACTTCCATCCATCTCATTATAAATTGGAGAATACTCTTTCATTGAGGGGTTTTACTCTTAATTAGCTATTCTCTCTCTTGTACTTTTACTCATCTTATCTTTTGTAAATCATTTGTAAGTCAGTCCGCTGTTGCGACCTGACCCCTAATATTAATACAAACATTAGTGGACGTAGGACTTGCTACCTTAGCATCCGAACCACTTTAAAAAGCTCTCACTACTGCATTTACTATGTCTTTTATCTATACCCACGTGTGTCTCCTAAGCCAATCAACGTTTCACACGTGCTTTTTGGTTAGTGTCAAAATTTCGCATCAACAATATATATGAATGGTTACAGATAAACTTTTTAAGGAATTGCTTCATGTAAATGATCCTCATGTAATTGCAATATATATATTCCATATGTTGAGAAATTCTTCAAAATGTGCTATATGATAGTGCTTGCATCAGATGCTTAATGTCATTAAAAATATTCTAGACATTATTGGCAGTGTAATTGACATAACTTTGTAATAACACAAACATTAAACTGTAATTTTGTAAAAAAAAAATTCAAATAAGAGATAAGAGATAGGCATATGCAAATTAGAATTCGAACTATATATAGATATGTTCAAAGATCACAAATATTTAGTCCCACTGTCAGAATTAAACTTTTATATATAATTCTAAAGGTAATTGGGATCTGCAAGAAGCATGATACTATGATAAAAACAACAATGGTTGTTGGATAGATTTGGTGAATAATAACCCTCTCAGGGCTAAGTTTCAGGATAACTTCACTTATCTACAAATTAACAAGATATCACATAATTAATTATTTACGTGTTACATATTCCACAGATTGCATCATCCTGTAGTCTTGAGCCTTAAATACCATTGTTTTTTATTTCCTTTTGTTGAATAATGCTTTGTATTTTGCTGCTGCTAGCGCCAATGGCCTGTCTGAAATTTTTTAGCAATAAAATAGTATTTAGCAAAGCCATTTCCTTGGAGAAGATCAATGTCTAAGTTGACAATTTCATCAGGTGATTTCGAAACTTATTAGCCTGCAAGAACCATGGCTTTTTTTTTTTTTTGTTTTTATAAATATTTTTAGTATCATTGAATTTTGAAACAATGACAACTGTATCTTATATGTGTGATCAAAATTAGAAAATTATTAAAAAAAAAAAGTATTCCATATATTCATACATAGATAGATAAATAGAATAATTTAGGTGGGAAAATTTAGTTGAAAAAATGGAATAAAACTATTAGTTTGTCAAGGAATCACTTTATATCAATGGCATGGCCTTAGCTATACATGAGAATATCTTAAGTAGTTGAGCAATCTTCATACTTTGGGTGATGCATGGAGATGCTTTTAATGTTAGCATAAACTTTAAGCAAAGGCCAAAAATAATTAGTACGAAGTTCATTAAAAAAATGGTATATATCCTCCGTCTCTCCAAATATTCCGTGAAGGTTAAAAAAAAAAAAAAAATACTGAAAATATTAGAAATATGCAATTGTTTCAGGGACTAATAGATCACCTCATTAATTTGTTCTTCATTTCAGAGACTAATATTGATATTAAAGAGAAGAATGAAGAACAAGCCAAGTCTGTTAGTTTGTGCAGTCTAAGTCAGCTTAATGAAGAAGAGTCAACTAGTCAAGCTAAGTGTGAGAGTAGTCAGGTGCTAAGCATGTAACATTATTACAGTATTAGTAAAGTGCTGAAAGTAGTATAAAACAAACAGTTAAGTCATTGTACCGATTATTATTCTGGAAAATAAAAACTTGTACAGTACTCCTTCTGAACCTTTCTTCTCTTGTTCCTATTCTCTCTTTCGAGTTCTCTGAATCACTTTAATGATTCATATATGTTATTTTTTTTTGGTAGGAAAATCTCTCCTTTAGTCAGTCTAATTAATGCTTTTCTTTTATGATTTGGTTCTCAATGAATTTTTTCTATTATGAATTAAGCCAAAGGTCTTAACCAACCCTTAGATCAAATCATAATTAGTATCAAGTCAAGTGTATTAGCATCCTACATATATAGAGAAAAAAAGAAGAAGAAAAATTACATTATTCCAATATGCTTGATATTTATTACAAGCTGATAACATCTCATATTTGGATGGATGTTGAATAACTCCCGTTGGGCATTTAATTGCATCCTATATATATTGTGTTGCTACTTGGCAATATAAACATTTCTCATTTCTCAACTATGGACATATATAAATTTAGATGGTTTAGCAATAGCAACCTCAAGATTGTAAGGTTAAAAAATTAATCGAACAAAGCTAAATCATGTGTACAATATATGTAGATTCGAGGAATTGCTTTATGTAAATGATCCTCATGCAATACACATGTATACATAGAGCAATTCTTCTACATGCATCTTAGTGCTCGCATTATATGCTAATGCAAATTTTCAGGTCTAGACATTAATTTCGAACACCTGATTAAATAGAAACTTTATAATAATATGCACTAAAAAAAATTATATATTGAATATTATTAAGGTAATTAGTACGTATAACAACAAGAACATTAATAATTCAGTCACTTAATTAATGTCATAATTGCTTATATATATTCTAAGGAAGAGAAAGATAATATTCAAGTAGGTCGAACAACTTACACCTACCTAACATTTGTCATGAAGATAAATTGGTACAACTTTTTTTTCTAAACCCACCCAAACCTTTGATAAGATAAACCAATGCCTGTTTTACAGGAGTAATGTTATACTTATATCACTCTTTTATACAATTTTCATTATATTATGATGTGGTACATGTCACAACCACACAAATTCTATTATAATATTAAAAATTAAAAATAATTAAAAATTTATGTGATTATGACATATATCACATCATCATGTAATAAAAATAATATAAAAGAGTAGTATAAATGCAGCATTATTTTGTTTTACAGTACTTTGCAAAATCAATGCAATTGTTAAATAGAGGGTCGTACGTGCCAAAATGTCGTTTTCCTAGGAGAAACTCTGTGGCAATCCTGATAACTTCATCTGGTGGCCTGCAAGGTTTTAGATTTTCAAAGATAAAAAGGTAATGGCCATCAAGGAAACAGTCAAGACAAGTTTTGATGATTCCACTATCCCGGCCTCTCCTGTAGCCACAGTTTGGACACGGAGAAACTGATTCACACAGAGAAACTGATTTACACCCGCCTTCCTTTTCAGCTGGCATAAGATGAATCACCATGCCATGGCCCACATATATTCCTATAATTACAAAAGAATAATGCAGTAATGTAAGAACTCCAACAAAATTATAATTAAATATAATAGTGAATGAAAATTACTTACCGTGATGATCGAAGGCAACAATCATCCTATTACTACAGATATGATCTCCTGGATTAAGCTTAGACCGATCTACCGGAATAAACTTACCAAGGATATAACGTACTGGATCAAACTCAGACCGATCTCCCGGATTAAGCTCAGACTGAGTGCTTAGTATTGGTCCCATTTAATTTCTCTTGCTTAAACTAAGCCACTTGGGAATACAAACATTTCTCAGACGAGGATATAAATATAGATTTGGATCCTTGGGTTCGAAAATTGATGGAACAAAAGCTAAAAGCTTACATAGTCTAATATGGGTCCTTATGATAAACGTAGATAGTCAAGGAATATATTGCTTTTATATATATATGAATTGTTACAAATAAACTTTTAAAGAATTGCTTTATGTAAATGATCCTCATGTAATTGCAATACATATATTCTATATGTTGAGGAATTTGAACTATATATATGGACTATGGGTCCCTATGATAAACGTAGATAGTCAAAGAATATATTGTTTTTATATATATGAATAGTTACGTATAAACTTTAAGGAATTGCTTTATGTAAATGATCCTCATGTAATTGCAATACATAAATATTCCATATGTTGAGGGATTCGAACTATATAAGGATATATTCAGAGATCACAAACATTTAGTCCTACTGTAAAAATTAAACTTTACATATAATTCTCAAAGCAGGATATTATGATAAAAACAACAATTGGTTTTTGGATAGAATGGGAAGGTAATAGCCCTTCAGGGCTGACTTTCAGGATAACTTCACTTGTCTAAATTAACAAGAATCACAAATTAATTATTTTTAATTTATAGTGTTTTTAAAGAAGCATTTCCAGTATATCATTACGTGTCATATATTCCACAGATTGCGTCATCCTGTAATCCTGGGCCTTAAATACGATTGTTTTCTATTTCCTTTTGTTGAAATAAAACTGCTAGTTTGTCAGGAATCGTTTTATATGAAGGCTAGACTAAAATGTTATGGAATCGTTATATTAAGGCATGGCCTTAGTTAACAAGAAAATACCTTAAGGGTGCGTTTGGTTCGAGGAATGTTTATTACTGAAATATAAGATTACCACGAGATAAATTATCTTAAAGATTACGGGAGGATATTATATCAATAGTTTGGCTAGATTAGTGGGTATGAATAATTAAGATGTTTAGTTGGGAAGAATAAAATGTTATCGATAGGACTTTTATGAATTGCCCTTCCTTTTTAATATCATTATAATAATAAATAATAATAATTATTATTATTATTATTTAAATAAATTCTTTTACCCCTTATATTTGAGAATTTAGCTAAAACACCCCAATAAAAAAGTTTAAATTTTAACAAAATACCCCCAACCACCCAAGACTATCGACGACCATTGGCACCACTGCCGGCCATGGCGTTAGTCACCAAAACAGCGCATGACCAGTGAGATCAGGTTGGCCATGCGTCGTTTGCGTTATTTTCGGCCAGATCAAAGGCTGAAAACAGCTAGATCATTGTGGATCTAGCACAAAAACGACAGATTCATGGCCATTTGGCTGTTCCGCCAAATCCACATTAATATGGTTGTTTCTGGCCATATCGAAGGCCAAAAACAACCAGATTGTCGTGGATCTGGTAAAAAATGGCCAAAATGGTCGATCTATTCTGATTGTTTCCAACCAAATCCATCGCGATTTGGCCGTTTTCCGCCTTTGACTGGCCGGAAACAGCCAAAGTTGCACACGGTTAGCAAATCCCGCTGCATCGTGGGTCAATCTGGAACTATTGTCGATGGCCGACAATGGTGGCTGGCGGCCAGTGGTTGTCTTTGGTGGCTGTCGGTATTTTGTTAACTTTTAAACTTTTGTGGCTGGGGTGTTTTAGCTAAATTCCAAAATGTAGGGGTCTGGGTGATTATTATTTGATAGACATTTGAGGGCAATTATGTCCGGATGGTATTAATTAAGGGTAAAATGGGTAAAATTAAGATTACCCCAATAATTTAAATATCACCCCTTGAGGAGGTAATCCGACTACCCCTATTAACCCACAGCAATCACTATTGGTATTGAAAGATTACCGAAACTTTTGTTACTTGACAACCAAACAAGGGTATATTCGGAATTAAAGATAGATTACCAGAGTTATCTTTCTAGAGCTCTAACCAAACACACCCTAAATAGTTGAGCAATCTTCATACTTTGGGTGAGTGATGCATGTGGTAAAAAAGCATGGAGATGCTTTTAATGTTAGCATAAACTTTAAGCAAATGCTAAAAATAATTAGTACGAAGTTCATTAAAAAAATGGTATATATCCTCTGTCTCTCCAAATATTCTGTGAAGGTTAAAAAAAAAAAAAAGAACAACTGAAAATAGTAGAAATATGCAATTGTTTCAGGGACTAATAGATCACGTCATTAATTTGTTCTTCATTTCAGAGACTAATATTGATATTAAAGAGATGAATGAAGAATAAGGGATTTGCAAAGACTTGCAGCCGCCATCTTAGCTTGAGAATGTTGACTTTTTTTGAGAGACATGTAGCTAAAATTTATGAGCTATAGACAAAACCACGTGAACTCAAGGGGTGAGCACGGGTAGCGGATAGAACCGGAACCGAGGGATAGAACTGGAATCAGAACCAGAACCTATCCAGAACCAGTACTATGCGGGTAGATTCCGGTTTCAATTTTTTGGAACCGATATTATGCGGTTCCGATTCTGGTTCTTGTGTATGGAGAAACCGAAACCGGAATCGGAACTTGTAAAAAGGGTACCCTGTTTGAACCTGTAGGGGGTACCCGGTTTGGAACTGATTTTTGGAACCTGTTTTGAAACCTGGACTATAATGAAATATTTGTGAAATGTGAATAATGGAGGGTTTCTATCTTTTTATTAAAAAAAAAAAAAAAAAATTAAATAGAAAAAGTTAAATTTTTANGTATAACAACAAGAACATTAATAATTCAGTCACTTAATTAATGTCATAATTGCTTATATATATCTTACGGAAGAGAAAGATAATATTCAAGTAGGCCGAACAATTTACACCTACCCAACATTTGTCATGAAGATAAATTGGTACAACTTTTTTTCTAAACCCACCCAATCCTTTGATAAGAGAAATTAACGCCTGTTTTACAGTAGGATGCAAAATCCTCGCAATTCTTAAATACAAGGTCGTATGTGCCAAAATCTCGTTTTCCTTGGAGAAACTCAGTGGCAATCCTGATAACTTCATCTGGTGGCCTGCAAGGGATGGGATGTATAAAGGTAAAAAGGATATTGCCATCAAGGAAACAGTCAAGACAAGTTTTGATGATTCCACTGTGCCGGTCTTTACTGTAGCCACAGTTTGGACACAGAGAAACTGATTTATCTTTCTTTTCAGCTGGCATAAGATGAATCACCATGCCATCGCCCACATATATTCCTATAATTACAAAAGAAGAATGCATTAATGTAAGAACTCAAGCAAAATTATAATTAAATATAATAGTGAATGAAAATTACTTACCGTGATGATAGTAGAGAATCCCCGCCCTATTACTAAAGATATGATCTCCCGGATCAAGCTTAGACCGAGAGCTTGGTTTTAGTCCCATTTAATTTCTCTTGCTTAAACTAAGGCACTTGGGAATACAAACATTTCTCAAACGAGGATATAAATATAGATTTGGATCCTTGGGTTCGAAAATTGATGGAACAAAAGCTAAAAGCTTATATAGTCCAATATGGGTCCCTATGATCGTAGATAGTCAAGGAATATATTGCTTTTATATATATATATGAATGGTTACAAATAAACTTTCAAGGAATTGCTTTATGTAAATGATCCTCATGTAATTGCAATACATATATTCCATATGTTGAGGAATTCGAACTATATATATGAACTATGGGTCCCTATGATAAACGTAGATAGTCAAGGAATATATTGTTTTTATATATATGAATGATTACAGATAAACTTTTAAGGAATTGCTTTATGTAAATGATTCTCATGTAATTGCAATACATATATTTCATATGTTGAGGAATTCAAACTATATAAGGATATGTTTAGAGATCACAAACAGTTAGTCCTACTGTAAAAATTAAACTTTACATATAATTCTAAAAGCAGGATACTATGATAAAAACAACAATTGGTTTTTGGATAGATGGTGAATAATAGCCCTCTCAGGGCTGAGTTTCAGGATAACTTCACTTGTCTATAAATTAACAAGATATCACATAATTAATTATTTTTTAATTTTATAGTGTTTTAAAAAGAAGCATTTCCAGTATATGGAAAATAAAAACTTGTACAGTACTCCTTCTGAAACCTTTCTCTCTGTTCTATTCTCTCTTTCGAGTATCGCTAATCACTTTAATGATTCATATGTTATTTTTTTGTAGGAAAATCTCTCCTTTAGTCAGTCTAATTAATGCTTTTCTTTATGATTTGGTTCTCAATGAGTTTTTCTATTTGAATTAAGCCAAAGGTCTTAACCAACCCTTAGATCAAATCATAATTAGTATCAAGTAAGTGTATTAGCACCTACATATAGTAGAGAAAAAAGAAGAAAAAAATTACATTATTCCAATATGCTTGATATTATTATAAGCTGTAACATCTCTATTGATGGATGTTGAATAACTCCGTTGGCATTTAATTGCATCCTATATATATTGTGTTGCTACTTGGCAATAAAATCTCATTCTCATTCTCAACTATGGACATATATAAATTTAGATGGTTAGCAATAGCAACCTCAAGATTGTAAGTTAAAAATTAATCAAGAACGAAGCTAAATCATGTGTACAATATATGTGATTCGAGGAGTTGCTTTATGTAAATGCCTCATGCAATGCACATGTATACATAGAGCATTCTTCTACATGCTGTGTCGTGCCGCATTATTCAATGCAAATTTTCAGGTCTAGACATATTTCGAAACCTGATTAATAGAAACTTTAATATTTGACTAAAAAAATTTAATTGAAATTATTAAAATTATACATTTTCCTTTAATTTCCAATTTGTGATTAGAGATTATCTGCTTTCTAATTAAACCATTACAAATTTATAGATAGATGGAGAGAAAATGCAAGGACTATTAGAGATTGGAATATAATCTCTAAGATTGCGTACAAAAGAGCTCTCAGATCGTATGACTAGAGATTGGAATATAATCTTAAAACAATATGAATCCATTATAAAGGAATTGCTTTATAATAAATGTTAAACTGGTAAGAGATAAATTTTAATAATGGTTGTTATGTGAAGTCCTATTGAAATATGCCCATAGATTAATTGGGATTTATTACTTTTCAGAATAAGAGTAATGCTAGGTCCACAATCTAATCTAATAACATTCTCTTACAACTCCGAATATAGTAACTCGTCATTGATCAATTCGTAAAATGGGTCTCACCTGCTTGTATATATGCGTTATGCCTACTAATTTGACAGTTAACCAATGATAAGCTATCATGTCTGGAGTCGTGAAAGAATGTTGTGGACTTAGCATTATTGTTGAAAATAAAATTAAAAAGAAAAATATATTAGAGTATCTCATTCTAATTGTAAAATTCTGAAAAAAAAGTGACAACCCTATCTGTAATGACTATGGACAAGTCTGATCGTTCAATCTCACCAAAGATCATGCCATCAAATATTGGACATGGGCTGCGTAAATATGCCATCAAATATTCCAGGCGGTGGCCGCGGTCATTGCACGTTAAGTGAAATGAATTTTGCCGCAGCTGATCATGCACCACCGCCACCAGCCTTTCCTGATTTCGTAGTAAAATTTGCAGCAGCTTCTACAGTTAATAACGACTCTAGTTCTTGACCATCCTGGTGTATATAAATAATTGTAATTTTCTACTGTTTTTTAAATTTTTTTCGTTTTTGTATTTTGAGAATGGGAGCAACCATTACAAGGCAACAAGCCATGTGGTTGTGCAATTCGATCAACCCCATCATGTCAACTCATATTCATTCATTGAAATTGATTATTGGATTCTTTGATTATTATATTTTTAATTATTTTCCCAAATTATCACATTATAAAGATGATATATTAAAATATTGACCATGCAGCATATATATAATAAATTAATTAATCAAGTATTCCATATATTCATACATAGATAGATAAATAGAATAATTTAGGTGGGGAAATTTAGTTGAAAAAATGGAATAAAACGAATCACTTTATATCAATGGCATGGCCTTAGCTATACATGAGAATATCTTAAGTAGTTGAGCAATCTTCGTAATTTGGGTGATGCATGGAGATGCTTTTAAAGTTAGCATAAACTTTAAGCAAAGGCTAAAAATAACTAGTACGAAGTTCATTAAAAAAATGGTATATATCCTCTGTCTCTCCAAATATTCCGTGAAGGTTAAAAAATAAAAAATAAAAAATAAAAAACTGAAAATAGTAGAAATATGCAATTGTTTCAGGGACTAATAGATCACCTCATTAATTTGTTCTTCATTTCAGAGACTAATATTGATATTAAAGAGATGAATGAAGAACAAACCAAATCAATTAGTAAGTGCAGTCTAAGTCAGCTTAATGAAGAAGAGTCAACTAGTCAAGCTAAGTGTGAGAGTAGTCACGTGCTAAGCATGTAAAATTATTACAGTATTAGTAAAGCGCTGAAAGTAGTATAAAACAAACAGTTAAAGTCATTGTACTAAGCATTATTCTGGTGATAATATTAGTAAGCCCTCTCATTATTCATTCAATCACAGTCTCTCTCACTAGTTCACAAAATTCTTGCTTCTAAGAATCACCGCCCTGTCCCGTAATAAAGCCTAGTTTCGACTACTCTACTCAATAATCGCTATAGAGACATGCCCCGGCCACTCTACGCCGATAAGTCACACCCTAACCAAAAACTTCCGATAAACCCTTTCCTGCTCTCAACCTTACTAAATTCCCTTCAACTATGCTGACTTAAGTGACACAACCCGTCCCGAATTTCCTCATCTCGTAGGATCCAGGCGCTCCCACAAGACTCGGATACCCGAGACGTGCCATGTAGAAAAAACTGCGAAACCTGTTTAAAGACATACTTTTCCTGAATAACATCATAGTAATTCCATTTCCAACATCTAAAAAAAAGACATGCAGCATCTTTCGTTTTACAAAAGAAAAGAGTTAGGGAAACTTGTGGTATCAGGTTTTCCACTTATACTACACATTCCCAAATATGAAACAAAAGGAAATACATGAAGGAAAACACGAGTTCTTGAAACGAAAGCCCAAATTTTTACAATGCGACATAAATATAAGACCCACATAAAAGATGTCAACGCGTGGCACAACCCTGAGCGGAGGCTCACTGCTCGGCACGATCTCCGGAAGGTCCTGGTGGGGGGAAAAACATTTAAAAAGGGGTGAGCTNCCTTGGGTTCGAAAATTGATGGAACAAAAGCTAAAAGCTTATATAGTCCAATATGGGTCCCTATGATCGTAGATAGTCAAGGAATATATTGCTTTTATATATATATATGAATGGTTACAAATAAACTTTCAAGGAATTGCTTTATGTAAATGATCCTCATGTAATTGCAATACATATATTCCATATGTTGAGGAATTCGAACTATATATATGAACTATGGGTCCCTATGATAAACGTAGATAGTCAAGGAATATATTGTTTTTATATATATGAATGATTACAGATAAACTTTTAAGGAATTGCTTTATGTAAATGATTCTCATGTAATTGCAATACATATATTTCATATGTTGAGGAATTCAAACTATATAAGGATATGTTTAGAGATCACAAACAGTTAGTCCTACTGTAAAAATTAAACTTTACATATAATTCTAAAAGCAGGATACTATGATAAAAACAACAATTGGTTTTTGGATAGATGGTGAATAATAGCCCTCTCAGGGCTGAGTTTCAGGATAACTTCACTTGTCTATAAATTAACAAGATATCACATAATTAATTATTTTTTAATTTTATAGTGTTTTAAAAAGAAGCATTTCCAGTATATCATTACGTGTCATATATTCCACAGATTGCGTCATCCTGTAATCTTGGGCCTTAAATACGATTGTTTTCTATTTCCTTTTGTTGAAATAAAACTGCGAGTTTGTTAAGGAAACGTTTTATATGAATGGCTAGACTGAAATGTTATGGAATCGCTTTATATTAATGGCATGACCTTAGCTATACAAGAAAATACCTTAAGGATGCGTTTGGTTCGAGGAATATTTTATTACTGAAAATATAAGATTATCACCAAGATAAATTACCTTAAAGCTTACGGGGGAATGTTATATCAATATGCTTGGTTAGATTAGTGGGCATGAATAATTAAGATGTTTAGTTGGGAAGAATAAAATGTTATCGACAGAGACTTTTACTGAATTGCCCTTCCTTTTTAATATCATTATAATAATAATAATTATTATTATTATTGTTATTATTTAAATAAATTCTTTTAACCCCTTATATTTGAGAATTTAGCTAAAACACCCCCAACAACAAAGTTTAAATTTTAACAAAATACCCCCAGCCACCCAAGACTACCGACGACCATTGGCCACCACGTCCGGCCGCTAGTGTCAGTCACCAAAACGGTGCATGACCAGCGAGATCAGGTTGGCCATGCGTC